TATCTATCTATCTATCTATCTATCTATCTATCTATCTATCTATCTATCTACCTACCCACCCATCCATCTATATCTACCTATCCATCTATGTCTGTCTGTCTGTCTGTCTGTCTGTCTGTCTATCTTTCGCCATTCACCCACCCAGTTATCTATCTACACACACACTAACTATCCACACATACTCTGTCTACACATCTATTCTTCTTTGTCTGTCTGTCTGTCTATCTATCTACCCACCTACATACATATGTACATACATACATACATACCACACACAATAGATACACACAGTTCCAGAAGGGCTGCCTTCAGATTTAATAGTTGCTGCTTCCCTTTTTCTTTGTCCCGCTTTTTCAGGCCTCAAAATCTTAATTTAACTGCTGTGAGTGAAAGTATCTTGATGGATAATCTGGAGATTTTCCAAAAAAATGGATTTGATTTTGTGGTTGATGAAAACGGTGAGTTCTACCCTACTATCTTTCCTAGCTTTGGTAGAGGAAGTGGGGAGAGAGTGACTGACTGTCTCTGCTTTGGGACTATGAAACATCTTTCAAATAATTAAAATGGAAAAATTAGCATGCCAAACAATTCCATTTTAAAACTGTCTGAAAGAGTGCTCTTCTAACCATCTTTGAAATTGGAGTTCAATTGGATATTCTTTTCATGCAAGGGAAAAAAAATACACTCAGTTTAAAACTTAACCTGCAAGATTTAGCTCCTTATTGGCAATTATTACACAAGTAGTTGGGTTAAACATTATCTCCGTGTAAAGAGACTGTGACCATTATGTTATTTTGAAAACCTTTCAGCTCCTGTAACTCAGAGAGTGAAGCTCATATCTTTACCAACCAGCAAAAACTGGACTTTTGGTCCTCAGGACGTAGAAGAATTGATCTTTATGTTAAGCGATTCTCCGGGAATCATGTGCAGGCCCTCCAGAGTAAGGCAAATGTTCGCCTCTCGAGCGTGTCGAAAATCCGTAAGTATAACAGTTGCTGTGTAAACTGAAGCTTGGATGGATGGATGGATGGAGCGTTGCTACCTGAATGGGTTATTTCAAAGAACAAGGAAGCAGCTAAGCCAAAAGGAATTGATACTGAACTCTAGACTTTGCTCCTGTTACAGGTGATGATTGGAACCGCCCTCACCGCCGGTGAAATGAAGAAACTGATTTCTCACATGGGTGAAATTGAGCATCCTTGGAATTGTCCGCACGGAAGGCCCACCATACGGCATTTAGTCAACCTGGACCTCATTACACAAGAGTGACAGGCTGCTAGCACTTACTTTATTGTGGAACGCAACCGCAGTCTCATTTTAGAATCATAAGCTGTCACAAAGCTCTCGATTTTGCTGGACCAGAAGCTTAAATAATGGTTTCATGTTGCAAAAGAAGAACATGTGGTTTTTTCTTTTCTTTTTCTCTCTTTCTCTCAAATGGTTCATATAGACACAATAACTTTCCATCTCCTGCCCTCTGAAAAAAGACTTTTCACATTTTTGTTTAAAAAAAGCAGCCAGAAAATAGAGATTTTTACCCGTCCACCCCCCCAAATGGACTTGTTTTACGGCTACCTTTGTGGAAATATTGGCTTTCTGTCCATTTTATCGATTTCCTCTAGACAGGAAGAATTAAGTGCACATAACTGACTTTTTAGAGGATTTCCTGTTTTAGAGCAGACCTGTTTTATAAATAAAGATTTTTTTAAAAAAATACACAAAACTTCTTTGTGCTTTAACAGAATGGTTTCCATCTACAGTGTACAGTGTGATGGCCAGCTCCTGTAGGTATGATAGAGATGGTTGATGCCAGTTGTGAGTTTTATGTTGTCACAGCATTTTAATAATTGGAAAACGAAAGGCTTAAACAATTCTCTACTATTACAGCCTTTAGTATCTGATTTGTCTTCATTGTTTTGAGCATAACATTCACCCTTAAATTCCTTTCTCATCTTCTGTATCTACATGAATTTTCTTGCTCCTGAGTAATAGAAAAGCAATAGGTTTAATAAATAAGGGAGGAGTTGGGCCATTTCTAAAATCGGAGCTTGACCGACTTGGAAGTTATCTGTCACTTTGCATCAACTTCTTTATAAAATTAGCTTGAATTTAATATTAAAAAAATATATTTGTGCCTGTTATGTCCTTCTAAAGAATAATTTTGAAAGCATCCAATTAATCGCAAACAAGAGCAGGCAGACCTGATCAATCTCAGATGATCTGTAAAGAATAAAAAGTTCATATTCTAATTCATCAAATAATGAAGTTAATATACATTATCTCTGCATGCGTACGCTTTTTATTGTCGTGAAAAAGAAATTGGACAACTTGTTTGTCTGGGATGGTGTCTGGGATCTTCTGCTCAAGCAGAGGGTTAGACTAGAAGACCTCCCAGGTCCCTTCCCATCCTGTGATTTTATGTTCCGTGTTCTCAATGTGATGCATATACACAAACAAACAACTATCTAAAGGTGGGACATTTGTGTGCTATTCTGCAGTTGTGCAATTGGGCCAGACTTTCTCAAAACCAAAGCTCCCCCTTTGCAAATCCGAGCCAGTTATTATGCAGTTATTATGCAGAAAGGTCAACCCGGAAGAAGAGCTGACCAAAGCCCCGCCCAACCAGGAAGCTTCTCTCTCGCCCCGCCCAGCCCTGTGGTTGCTATGGCCACCGCCCAAGCCTCATAACATCGTTGCTATGGCTACGACTCAGTCCTCTTAGCAACTGGCGTCGCAGGGAAACTTCAGCCAACTTTTTGCAAAGGGTTGCAAAATAGGAGGGATTTCCAAAGAGGTGGATTTTAATATATATATTTCCCCCCTTGATTTTCTTCGTGGCTTTCAAGTTTGCATTTGCTGCCCAGCCCCTGATAGCTGAAGGACTACAATTCCCCTAATCCCCACCCCGCTCCTGTGATTTGCTAGTATGGTTATTGCAAATTCTTGAACATCCCTCCCAACCTTGCTGGCCCTTGCAATGATTTGGGGGCTAGTTATTATTCTTATTTTCGTTATTGAGTCAAATCTGGATCCATTCTGGGTCTCTGTTCTTAAAAGGCCTTAAAAGCTGATTAAAAAGTTACAGTTTGGAGTGGTCTTTTGCAGTTACATTTGGAGTTTTCAAATGTTGCTTTCTGGAATAGAAACATTTACTCCCCAAAAATCCTTACAATCCAAGGGCTATTAAAAATAATAATAATGAGGAAAATGCTCCCAGTTTTTAGAAAGAGGTCGGGGTTGTTCTTTTTTTAAACATGTGTATAATGTATAATGACCATATTTTCTTGGAAATAAAAATATAAAGGATCCATCAAGGTAAAGAATGTTGTTTATGTATGTAACTTGGCTTTACAAAGGACAATTCAAGAACAAAACTAAAAAAAAAATCACAAAAATGTGCAGTTTAACATTAATATCTAAAAACATCTAAGAATGATTTTTATTAAGTTATAAACTTTAAACTGAAGGTATAAGAAGTAAGCATTAAAAACAATTTCTGCACTTAGGCTGTGCATTAAGCAGGCCCATTTGTACAACAGAAGGGAAATGGGCAAAATGAAAGTGAATTTTTGAAAAAATAAATAAATCCGTAGGACAATTTTCTGAAATAAAGAACTCTTCTTTGTAATAAAACAACATAAAGTAAATTTAATATGCCCTATTTCTATGAAGGCTTTTTTGTCTGTACGTTTCACTATGTTACAAAGTAGTAAATTCTTCTAACATCAATAAAAATTATAATTTTTTTGATTATGTTTCGGGTTTTATTTATTCTACTAGATTGTTGGTCAACGACTATAAATAAGTTTTTATTACATTCAATATGTCATCATTGCCTTTGAATTGCTCAACAAAGAAAATAAGTAATAAACTTAACTAATTTTAAATTTTATTGACCATGTGAATCATGTCGAGGAATACCTGTATATCTTGTTCAATCATTTCTCTCTCTCTGAAGTGTAAGCACGCCTCCTAATGAAGTATTTATTTTTCCCACCTCAAGATTAAAAAGAAGAGCCGCACTCTTTCCCAGGACGCCTTATTCTGTCCTACGTCAGAGCGATGGGTAAAGATAAGAAGAAAGAGAGTAAAAAGGGAGACAAGTCGGTGACTACTCCAGCCCATGACACATCCATGGAGTTAGCTGTTTCCAACCAGAATGTCCCACCTCTGGCAGACCAGGGGGACGAACACTTGGCTACTCAGGTAGCTTCCAAAGAAGAAAACTCAGAGCCTCCCCCTGTCCCTGAACCCATTGAGTATGAAGAACCCATCCTCACACAACTGATTGTTGAAAGGTAAAACCAGAGTTTTGCTAAAAAATGGAGTATGGTCACAGGGTACTGGTATCCAGGGGTGGGCTGCTGGGGGCTCGCAGGGGCTCAGGAGAGCCCCTAGCTAAGACTCTGTTGGGCTCAGAGAGCCCCTGATAACCTCAGAAAGACAAGCAGCAAGGGAAAGCGCTTCCTAGACTTAATTGAACTTCTGGGCATTCCGCCAAGAGCATTTCATACTTGGTAAAAGTGTTGCAAGCTAGATAAACAATCCACTCAGTGCTTGCAAAGGAGAGCCATTGAGAAAATCAGATAACATAGCCACTAGCCTCTGAGGGGATTAATCCTCAAATAATAAGAATCATGTAATTCACCAGAAACTTCATTAACTTTAATGGCTTGCATTGATTTTATGATACCGCGAGCTGCCCAGAGTCGCTTGGCAGTAAAGTGGGCAGCATACCAATTTAGTAATTCAACAAACCAACCAACCAACCAATGAATTTTCATCTTGAATTTATGTTTTCCATAGCTACGAGGGAGAAAAGGTCCGAGGGTTGTATGAAGGGGAAGGAACTGCCTATTTTCAAGGAGGCAACGTGTACAAGGTGACAATATCTATGTGTTAAATCTTAAGGATATAGAATTTCCTTCCGTGGGATAGGCCATTTCATTATTTCCTTGAGGAGTAGGGTGGATTTAAAGGCTAGCTTCTTTTATTTCCTGTATGTAGATTGAAAGAGTGGCGTGAACTCAACCCTGGTGAGAAAACCAGGGCTGAGTGACTTTCTGGCAGACATGTAGAAATCTGACTTTTCTTACTGTTCTGCAATTTGAGGGGTCATGCCCTCCACTCATCAGCTTCTTCTTGCCATTTTGTAGGGCATGTTTTCAGAAGGACTCATGCACGGACAAGGGACTTACACGTGGGCCGATGGAGTGCAGTACGAGGTGAGTAACTGTCCCAGAATTTTTAGCAAGACGGGCTATTTTAGATGGAGATGTTGGGAGTCAGACTTCCATCTGGAAGGTTCCTGGTTGGGAAGGCCTGGTCTGTCTTCAAACGACGTTCGTCCATTTTCGAAGAGGACCTTGACATCTAACGAGTTGTGGCTGTCCACGGTGTGTCCACATGTGGCTGGTAAGGCCTCTATGGACATGGAATGTTCTGCCACGTGTTGGGCAGAGATGTGCGGGCACCACTATTGCAGCATTTGCAGCTCTGGCTCTGCGGAGTGCTCGCTTCTCTTGTGCTGTGGTTGTCCTTCTGTCTTCAAATGTCTGGCAGCCTCGGTGGATCAGCGTGCGCCATGTCAATCAATCTCGTGCCAGGGTTTCCCAGGAGGTAGGGTCGCTATCCAGGGGACTTGAGAGAGGCTTTCAGCGTGTCTTTGTGTCACTTCCTTTGTCCCCTTGTGATCGCTTTAATTGAGACAGCTCACCATAGAGGTTTGTTGTGGTTCGCCGGCAGCCTGTGCAGATGGCAGTGTAATTGGACAATGGGGAAGAACGGGGACCAGTCAGGGAGTCTGGAGAGGACTCGGACGAGGGTCCTGCATCCGATGCAGAGATGGGGCCAGGACCAACTGGGAGTGGAGTGCTGACTCCGGAGCTTCCAGAATCTGACAGCAGCGAGGCCGAGGAGCCAGGGGAGCCTGTTCCCAGTGCGCGCATGCACAGAGCTGCTAGAAGGCGAGAGGTCTTAAAGAAGAGACAACTGTTTGTCTAAAATGTTACAGGGTTTATTACCTGAGCAGGGGATTGGACTAGAACTTGCAGCGGTGGTATTCAGCAGGTTCTGACCAGTTCTGAAGAACCGGTAGCAGAAATTTTCAGTAGTTCAGAATACCACCTCTGACTGGCCTGCCCCCACCTCTTCTCTGCCTCCCCTTGAGTCCCAGCTGATCGGCTGGGTCTTCTTTTGTTGCCCTGCACAGAAGAACAGAGCTGGAAAGCAGGTTAGTGGGGCGGGGAGGGAAGGGGGATTTTACAGTATCCTTCCCCTGCCACGTCCACCAAGCCACACCCACAGAACCGGTAGTAAAAAATTTGGAATCCCACCACTGACTAGAAGACTCCTAAGGTCCCTTCACTCTGTTATTCCATTCAGTGTTCCAATATCTAAGGCAAGGGTCTTCCAACTTGGCGAGTTTAAGCCTTGTGGACCTCAACTCCCAGACTTCCTGAGCTAACTTGACTGGATTCTGAGAGTTGAAGTCCACAAGTCTTAAAGCTGTCAGGTTTGAAGACCCCTGATCTAAGGGGTTCCCACAAAGAAGAGGGAGTCAAGCTATTCTCCGAAGCACCCGAGGGCAGGACAAGAAGCAATTCATGGAAACTACTCAAGAAAGAACCAACTAGAACTAAGGAATATTTTCCCGACAGAACAATCAACGTGGAACAGCTCGCCTTCAGAAGTTGTGGGTGCTCCATCACTGGAGGTTTTTAAGAAGAGATTGGACAGTTCACGTGTCTGAAATGGCTGCCTGGGGGATTCTGGGAGTTGAAGTCCACAAGACTTAAAATTGCCACGTTTGGAGACCTTCCCTCCTGCTCGACGTGGTCGAGTTTTCCTACCTTTCGAGGTGAAAGGTAAAAGAGTGAGCTTCTTCTTACTCCTACACTTTCCTCTCTTGTAGGGAAACTTCGTCAAGAATGTGCAAATGGATCACGGCGCTTACAAGTGGCTGGACGGCAGCATGTACGAAGGTGAAGTGAAGAATGGGATCAGAAACGGTTTCGGCATGTACAAATGTGGCACCTATCCTGTTTCGTATATTGGCCAGTGGGTGGAAGGCAAGAGACACGGCAAGGTAGTGAAAACGTGGTTGCTGGAAGCATGTAGGGAGTCCTTGATTTACAACAGTTCCTTTAGTGACCGTTCAAAGTTACAAAGGCACTGAGAAAAGTTGACTTATGACCATTTCTCACACATACAACCATTGCAGCCTCCCCATGGTCACGCGATCTAAATCCAGCCGCTTGGCAACTGACTCGTATTGATGGCAGTTACAATTTCCCCGGGGACACGTCATCCCCTTTTTTGTGACCTTCTGACAAGCCAAGTCAGTGGGGAAAGCGAGAGATTCACCTCACAACTATGTCACTAACTTAACAACCGCAGTGATTCCCTTAACAACTGCAGCAAGAAAGGGACAAAATTTACCTCAGAACCGTCTCACCTAGCAACAGAAATGTTGAGCTCAATTGTGGTTATAAGGGTGGAAGTTACCTGTAGTTGCCATGATTGGATTCTGGGCAGGAAGGTCTTTGCAGAGATGGTGAGACTCTAGAAAGAGTGCAGAGAAGAGCAACCAGGATGATGAGGGGACTGGAGGCTAAAACATACGATGAACATACGATGAACGATGGTTGCAGGAACCGGGCCTGGCTAGTCTAGGGAAGAGAAGGACCAGGGGAGACAGGATAGCAGCCTTCCAATATTTGAGGGGCTGCCCCAGAGGGGGTCAAGCTATTTTCTAAAGCCCCCAAAGGCCAGACAAGGGAGATTCAACCTAGAAATACAGTGAAATTTCCTGACAGTGAGAACAATCAACCAATGGAACAGCTCTCCCTCAAAAGTTGTGGGAACATCATCACTTGAGATTTTCAAGAAGAGATTGGACTCCCATCTGTCAGAAATGATGTTAGGTCTCCTGCTTGGGCAGGGGGTTGGACTAGGTGACCTACAAGGTCCCTTCCAACTCTGATTATCTGAGATCATGGCTGTCCCATCCAGCATCAACTTAAAATCCTCTTCCTGGCCTTTCCTTCTGCCAGCCACAAAGGAGGAAATCTTGGGGTTGGCTTCTTAGCAGACGGATGGATAATCTGAAGTGTTTTAGTTAATGTGTCTTCTGCTGGTGTAAAAACCCGATGGAAGGTGCTTGAGTCTTCTTAAGTGCATTAAAGTATTTGTGCAATTGATTTTCAGGGCACCATTTACTACAACGAGTCCGGTTCTTCTTGGTACGAAGGAGACTTTGTGAACAACATAAAAAGTGGATGGGGAGTAAGACGGTAAGACGATCTTTTCTTCTCTGTGGGGAAGTTAGAACTTTCGGAGGAGTTACATAATAGAATGACAGAGTTGGAAGGGACCTTGGAGGTCTTCTAGTCCAACCCCCTGCCTAGGCAGGAAACCCTATACCATTTCAGACAAATGGTTATCCAATCTGTCCATCACTTCCAGTGATGGAGCATCTACAACTTCTGGAGGCAAGCAGTTCCACTGGTTCATTGTTCTCACTGTCAGGAAATTTCTCCTTAGTTCTTGGTTGCTTTTCTCCTTGATCGGTTTCCATCCATTGATTCTTGTCCTGCCCTCAGGGGCTTTGGAGAAGAGGCTGACTCCCCCTTTTCTTCGTGGCAGCCCCTTAGATATTGTCCCCCCTGGATCACAAGAACGTTCACCCCAATTTTATGGAGCCAGTAGGACAAGGACCAGAATAAAATGCTACTGCTAGATCTTAGGGAATACTGTTTGGCTCAGAAACCAAGTTTTTGGATGAAGAAAGGGATGATAAGGCTTCAAACTCAGTGGTGTTCCTGAAGAAAATGGCTCCTGCATATTCTCTTTTTGTTTTTTGTTTTAATGAGAGGAAAGCTTCTGATGTATGACATTTGATCTACACAGGACTTCCAGAATTTTCAACAAAAAGGGCTATTTTAGATGGAGATGCTGGGAGCTGAACCTCCATCTGGAAGGTTCCTTTTTGGGAAGGCCTGGTCTGTCTTAAAATGGTTTTCCTCCGTTTATTGAACTATAGTGTTGATGTTCTTCTCGGTCTCTTTGAACAGTTACAAATCTGGAAATATCTATGAAGGGCAATGGGAGAGAGACCTACGCCATGGAGAAGGACGAATGAGGTGGCTAACATCAAACCAGGAATACACTGGAATGTGGGTTAATGGTATACAGGTGAGACCAAATAGAACAGTTTTTCTTTTCCCAATTCCACCAACTATAGAGAGTTACGGCCATGTCACATGTGGGAATTCACTGGAGAAAGCAATTGTGTTTGGAAGAGTTAGTGGTAAAAGGAAATCAGGCCATCAGAGAACATGAAGGCTGGAGACCATCAAACAGACATCAGCCAGAGCATAGAACAACTCAAAGAAGTCGTGCAAGACTGGAAGATGTTGAGAGACCAGGCCCATAAAATTGCCAAGTCAGACACCACTGAATGAATAACATCTTCATCACCATCATCTTCATCGATGGTTATGGCTTAGTCTTGTATGGACCTAAGGGTTTCTCTAGACCTTGTTTCTCAAAGTTTGGATATAGAATTCATTTGGACATCTAAACAATGGCTGAGTTAGATGTGTTAAAAGTCCATGTGTTTCCCCCCGTAAAACCATAAAATCAGGGGGTCTCCAACCTTGGCAACTTTAAGACTTCTGTACTTCAACTCCCAGAATTGTTGGCTGAGGGATTCTGGGAGTTGAAGTCCAAAAATCTTAAACTGGCAAGGTTGGAGATCTCTAGGACAAGCAAACTTCAGTACCTTTAAGATATGTGGACTTCACCTCCCAGGATTCCCCAGCCAGCATGAATTCTGGGAGTTGAAGTCCACACCCCTTCAAGTCACTAAGATTGAAAATCACTGCTCTAGAAAATGTTCTGGTTGATTTCCTTAGCACGGGCAAGGTACCCACACCTGGTATCTGAAGAGGATTGCTGGGTCACAGTATCCCCTAAGGAATGAGTACGTTGGAGAGTTCGTCAACGGTGATCGGCATGGACACGGGAAATTCTTCTTTGCCAGCGGCGCAATGTACAATGGAGAATGGGTGCTCAACAAAAAGCATGGCGCGGTAAGGGTGGAGAAGTTTGGGGAAAGAGCGAGAAGATCAAAGCAGTCATTTTGCTCTTCTAAACACGTAGCCCATTCTTGTTTCTCTCTATCCTCTTTCCTAGATCTTTCATTGCGTCCTTGTTCACACAATCCCCTTATTCTTGTGAATTAAACCATAGTTTATTCCATGAACCTGTTTTCTGGGTTTGTAGAGCATCATTAACTTATTGGGCTTAGTCCCCATCACATGCTAGACTGAAAAGTGATCAGCTAGTGAGGGTTTGGTCCGTCTTAGACATGTTCACGCCAAAACTTTTTTGAGGCAGGATCCTGTTTCTTATTTATACATACTTCTGTATGATAGGTAGATATTTGACATCTTCAGTACCTTAAAATGGATGTTATGCACCTATCCAAGCAATGGAGGTTTTTCATAGGTCTTCATCGGTGGCTTCTCCTGAACTTAGGAGTTTGGAAGTTAAGCTCCTTTGCTTGCGATCTCTGAGCTTCCTCCAAAGCCTACGAGCAAGATTTTACGGTGAAAAACAAACCAAGATTATAAACAATTTCTCTAACACATTAATACATCAAATTTACCACAGAGCAAAATAACAATCATTTTAAGACAAATTTCTTCAAGTTGAACTCAACTCATGGACGCCTCGATCATTTTCTTGGCAATCACACACGGAGAATGTTCGCCACTACTGCCTTTTCTCATATATTTTTTGGGCTTCCTATTCTCCTAATTTCTCTGAAATTTACTCACCTTCCCATCCATGTGCTACTCAGGCCCAACCCTGCTTAGCTGCTAAAATGTTCCCAGCCATGACCTAGCACCCGTTTCTAGCCTACAGTCCCGTCTCTTCCTCTCATGTTGCCAACTCAACAGCCCAGGAGAAGAGAGATCATCTGTGGGTCTTGTATGGGTAAAAGTTAACCAGGTTTTAAAAGCAGAACCCTGTTCCTCTCTTCTCCCCCCCCCCCCCCCCCCCCCCCAGGGCAAGCTGGTTTTCAAGAACGGCCGTGTGTACGAAGGCGAATTTAACTACGATCACATAACAGAACGCCCATCCTTGCAAATAGACATGACCAATATGGAAGCGCTGAGCAACCTCTCTTTGAAGGGATTTTCTGGCATAGGTGAGCTGCTTCAAAGTAGGTAGAAGAAAAGATGAGACTTGATGAGCTTTATCTAACACTCTTGAAACCCTCTCGGCTTTTAAAAGAGAAGAAGTTTCAAAATAGAGGTAGTCCTCACCTTTGGGCCACAATTGAGCCTGACATTTCTTATGGCGAAGTGAAATATGAGTGAGTTTGGTCCCATTTCACGCCCTTTCCTGCCACAGCTGTTAAGTGAATCACTGCAGTGGTTAAGTTAATAACACAGTTGTGAAGCAAATCTGGCTTCCCCGTTGACTTTGTCAGAAGGAGATCACATGACCCTGTTGGTCATTTGCATCCTTTTTAGAGAGTTGTTGAGGCCACTTGGAGGTTGATCTGCAGCAGTTCCAAAAAGACTTCACACTCATTTGCACTCCTCGGGTGACCCTCAGGACACAGATAAACCTCTAAGTGGCCTCAATGACTCTAAAAAGGATGCAAACGACCAGCTCCGTCTGCAAGGAGTATCAATCCTTCCCTTCCCCACCATCCAGTCAGAGCTGAAGAAGCTTCTTGGATGAGAAGCGAAACTTCTTCAAAAGAAGAACCAGAAAGTCCAGGTGCCTTTTGAAAAAAGCACCTCTGGGACAACCTGGATGAAACATTTGTGTTTGTGTTTATCCTTCCTGTAGATGCCCTCAGTTTCCACGATTGTGCCTTTCTTTTAAAGAAGGTTGAAGCATTTGACGTTTTCTCTTTTTCACCGCCCAGATAGTGTCAAAGTTGTCGATCATTCCAGGATCTCCTCTTTGTCAGGACCAAACATCGAAATAGATCTTTCGACCTTGTTGGCTTTATTTCCGGAAAAAGATAAGGAAGATGAAATGAAACAGGTATGAGAAGCTTGGTCTACACTCACAACACTGGGGCCCAAACGATAGAAACAAAACAAGACACTAACAGAAGAAGAAAAAGTTAAGATCATGGTCTTCCAACCAAGATGGAAAGTGTTGTTGCAATGAACAAAAGGAAGAGTCAAACTCTTTTAGGGTGTTTGGAAGTGGTGTCCACGGTTTACATAATTTGGAAGCTTCACAAAGCAATGTGAGAGGCTGACGTTGAGCGGAATTGTCTTCTTCTGTGCTGGAAAGAGACGCCGGCAGACACATCATAACACTCCAGGACCAACAGAAGGGAATATTTGTAGCTCAGAGTTTGAACTGTGAGGTCTTTGACGCTCTCTGAGCTTGGTGGTTTTCTTGCAGAGGTTTCATTACCCAACGAGGTAACATCATCAGTGCTAGAAGGGAGTGGAAATTGTGAGGAGGAGGAGGAGGAGGAGGAGGAAGAAAAGAAGAAGAAGAAGAAGAAGAAGAAGAAGAAGAAGAAGAAGAAGAA